GACAGATGCTATGATCGGCAAAAGACAAAAGGCTCTACATCTGACAATATCACTACAGGTATGATTAGAATTTCAACAGCCAATCCACATACAAAAGAACCTTGAAACAGGAAACCTCCTCAGGAAACAATCCATATACAAAAGAACCTCCTCAAGAAAGCTCTTCCATTAGCATATTCATAGCCTGGGGAACTCCTACAAGATAATGATTCAGCCCTACCCCACCTTCTGGAGTAGATATAAATTACCTGCCTACCATTTTTCTTCTCACCTTGACACAGAGAGTACTCCATCACAGCTACTGGCGAAATGTCAGGTTCTACAATGCCTAGACCACGGCCACACAACCCAGAAAATCTACAGCAACTAATGAACTCCGGCTGTGAAATCACATTTGCCTTTTTAGCAACCGCATCACACTGCTGACTCATGTTCAGTGTATGGTCTACTAAGACCCCTAGATCCTTTTTGCACATACTACTGCCAAGACAAGTCTCCCCCAACCTATAAATTCTTCCTACCTAAATGCAGAACTTTACATTTATCTGCATAGAGATTCATTGTATTTGTTTTAGCCCAGTATTCCAGCCTGTCGAGATCATCCTGTATCCTGACTCTGTCTTCTGTTGTATTTGCTACCCCTCCCAATTTAGTATCATCTGCAAATTTAATAAGCATTATCCCTTCATCCAAATAATTGATAAAGATGTTGAACTAAACAGGTTCCAGGACAGATCCTTGAGGCACTCCATTTGTCACTCCTCTCCAAGAGGATGAGGAACCATTCACAAGCACTCTTTGGGTGCAACCTGTCAACCAGTTACTGTTGAGGGATCTGTGCATTAGAGGGTGCAGAGCATTCTGCATACATTATCTCATGAGCCGGCCATGGCTGGGAGGGCGGGGTATAAATGTAATAAATAAATAAATAAATAAAATCATGTATCAGCTCTGCATGAGATCCTGTGGTTGAGCAAACGGAAGGTGCTCGTGGGTGCAGATCTTCCCCACTTTCATCTTATAGCAGCCCTCTGCCACGAGCTGCAGTGAGGAGGGGGAATTGAGCAAAGTCATTCCCACTTTGTTCTTCTGGTGTCCAGCAAAACATATTTTAGTGGTGCAAGAGTGAGGTGCAGGTGATTTTGCCTAAATTCCACTCCTTGCTGCATCCCTTCCCTTGATGTCCTGTAATTTCATGGGGCTCCCATCACCCTTTGTGATGCCTTTTAAGGGGTCATAGGAGGCTCCTGTGGAATGGGGAGTGTTGGGAATGTCCCATGACCATGAGCCCTTTGGCTTGCCCAACTGTAGGAAGGAAGGTCAGTATTACTGCCAATGGGATGTTGAAACGGGAGGACAGAGTCCTGGATCACTCTCATCACAACACCTGGGCAGCTTCTGGGAGACCTTGAGAAGAGAGAGCACAACCACTACCGCAACAGCAACCACTGAGAGGAAGAGTTGGTTTTTGTACCCTGCTCTTCACTACCCAAAGGAGACTCAGAGTGGCCTCCTCCTCCCACAGCAGACACCCTGTGAGATAGGTGGGGCTGAGAGAGTTCTGAGAGAACTGTGACTGACCCAAGGTCACCCAGCAGGCTTCATGGGCAGGAGGAGTGGGGAGTCAAACCTGGTTCTCCAGAGTAGAGTCCACGGCTCTTAACAACTACACCAAGCTACCCAGTGTGGTCAGAAGTAACTTGGTAGTTCTTAAAGGTTATAGTCATATATTTAATAGAGTAATAGTCATATTATTGTTGTGTGTGTCTGGTGGGATGGCGTACACAGGGCATGCAGTAGTCATGTGGTCCTTTCAGTTGATGATCATTGCAAATCTGGTTCTCAGTGAGTTGCAGAGTGAGTACTACTGTGTTAGAATAATACAGTTTCTAGAGTCATAGCAAGAGTTTGAATAAGTAAAAAATTACACACACACACACACACACACACAATTTACCCAGAATATTTAGTGGAGAAGGATATCTCAAATGTTGAGCAAATACAAATGTGAGGTTCCAGGTTAGCAATGCAATCCAAAGCATAGTTAGAATTCTGAGTCCACTGAAGGTAATGGGATTAGATGGCTGCCCTGTATATCATGGCCCTCTCCAGTGAAGGGATCCCAGTTTGCCACGGTTCTCCATATAAAATATCTATACCAGAAACGGTGTTGCCAGACTTCACATTGTTTTGTAAAGTGAAATAACTTAAAACAACAGAGGGTATCAGAGAGCCTCCGCCTGCGGTCCAGAGGGAGGCAGAGGGCTGGACTAAGTGGACCATGGGCTGGACCTGGTGGAGAAGAGCCTCTTCCGCTCCTTGCCTGGTTTGAAACTCTGGGTGATTCTTAACTTAATAAATTCATAGCAGTACGATGGCAGTGCTTTGGTGGGAGCAGGGGCTGTCACAGAAATGCTGGATTTATTTATTTCCCCTTTGACATCTTTTAGGAATAGAAGCCCCAAAGGACAGAACGATTGTCCAGAGTCAACTCCGCAAGATCTCCTTGCCTCTCTACAGTATTCTTTCAGCGCTCACCATCCTGGGAATGATCATGGCCAGTGCCTTTTTGTTCTTCAACATCAAAAACCGAAATCAGAAGTAAGGAGGGGCTGAGTCTCAATGGTTATGTTTTGCCTATAAATCCTATAAATTAGGGAAATCAAAGATCACGAGATGGAAGTGTGCATGATCCTGTCAGAAAGGAACCATTTTTAAGGCTGTAATCTTACGCACTAACCTGGGATTAGCAGGGCTTCTGTCGAAATATGTGGAGCCCTGAGCTCTGTGCTCCCTGGATTTTAATGAAGGACTTGAACATGTATTCAGTTTTTTCTCACTGAAACCAATAGGTTTTAAAAGTGCCTGACTTGGTCAGCATCACGCCCTATATGTTTTTTCAAATTCCATTTGATTTATGTTACTGTATAATATCTTCCTTTTGGAATATTTTATTAATATTTTATTAAATCCCTTTATTGCCAGCCCAATGCTAAGTGGTGAGGGAAAAGGCAAGGAGACCCCCTCCCCTGAAACAAGGAACGACAAACCCCCCAGTTTTGGATTCAAAATGGCCACAGCTCTATTGGTTACAGCAGCTGTAAGAAGCATTGGCACAGCATGGGGCAAATGGATCCAGGCATCAGCCAACCTGCCTGCCAGCTGATGAATGCTCACCCACCCCAGCCCACCTGCTGGGGGAGGGGTGGACCGTGGGGTGGCAGGAAGGTGGAAACATGGGCCGTAGCCACTGTGTGGTCTCCGCAGCCACTTGAGCGTGAGGGCACCATGACCGCCCCCAATCTGGACATGTTCCCTGTAATTCCTCTCCCCAAAATCCCTTAAGGGGATCCCCAAATGTGGGGAAACGAGCACACAGGCTAAATCCAGTGGCCGGCCAGGGCCTCTGCGGCCCCGCCCAGTCTCTTGGTCACCTCCCTCCTGACCACATCCACTCTATCCGGGCGGCTGGGCCCCCTGCAAGGAGCGTCTTTCCAGCAGGTCTGGCCAGAAGGGTGTTGCAATCGGGAGCCTGGCAAGCAATGGACACGAGTCTGCTTCTGCCCACACGAGGCACGAGGTCCTTCCCACCCGGCTGGGTGACGAAGGCATCCGTGGCTCCGCCTCACTGAAGGTGACACAGAACAGCCGGCAGCTGGAATTCCCCTCTCACCCACTTGATCTGGGCAGACGTCTGAGCCCCGTCCCAAGGACGCCACGGGGATCCCTGCTCAGCACCCAATGCTGCGCCCGCAGATCCACATCGACTTCCACCGCAGAGCTGAACTTGAAATAAATAAGTGTCAAAAACTTGCCTCCCAGTGTGGCCGGATGTAGGACCTGGACGCAGCACAATGCCACTTCCCAATGGCTTGGGGGCACAATGACAGAAGCCCTAACTTGTCTGTGGTGGCAGGTGCCCCAACCCAGAAAGAGTGGGGGCCCCTCGAGGGGAGCCCCAAGGCCACCCAGCAGGCCCAGCAAACTCAGACC